CCATAATGGGTATATATATAGTGAATAATAGGGCTTCCCCAATATAGTATCTGAATTTAAGTTCCGCAACAGCAACCCAGCTTATGCACTAAATTACTAGGTTGTTGTTAAGGAAGGTTCAGGGTTTAGAGGTTAAGGTTTAGGGTTTAGGGTTTAAGGTTTAGGGTTCAAGGATTAGGGTTTAGGGTTTAGGGCTTTAGGGTTTAAGGTTTAGGGTTTAAGGCCTAGGGTTTAAGGTCTAGGTTTTAAATTAGGTTACTATAATTGGGGAACCATATTCAAACCTATATATAGCCAACGTGGTAACTTAATTATATTAAGTTTCTTAACAGCAACCCAGCATATCTCCGACTCAGTACTGGTTGCTTGGTAATCGAAAACAAGTAAGACAAGATTATTCTTTTCGAGTAGCTTAGCCCTGAAGCCTGAGCCCTGATCTTACACAATATTTGCGCTGTAGTCGAAACTCCTAGTATCCCCGCTTCGCAACCCCTACAGTCCCCTATATAATCCCCTATATAACCCCCTTTAAGGTGTTTAGACTATAGCTCAGTTGGGTAAACCCTAAACCCTAAACGTCAATGAAGCCCAAAATGGCACCTGGGCTCTCAGTATGACAGTGAGGCGGCCTTGGGGGCCCGGATATACCACAGGGGCCTAAATAATTACCAATATCGTTTTGAAGTCCATTTGAGGTACCATAGACCATAATCCTATAAGGCATATGGAGCCAAAATATTTGAGGTCCGTTTGAGGTACCATAGACCCTAATCATATAAGGAAGATGGGACCATAATATCGGTAATTATCTAGGCCCTACTGTATGGGCACTGTAGAGAGGTCAGCGAGGTTCCCGTTGAGGAGTCGATAGGGATCATGTTCAGCAACTCCCCTGAAACAGTTGGGCGGGCTGGAACTTTCAGAGCCCTTAATCCTACACCCTAAATCGTGTGGTCCATCCTAACTGTGAGGATCCCTCCCGTGAGGATCCCTCACGTGGGAACCTGGCTGAAGATACCGCAATGAAGGAACACCATTGTGGATTGGGATGATGTAGGGTGAATTTTATGTAAAAGCTAGGCCCTAAACTCCCAAGCCGTAAACGAAGCCTAAATCCTAAACCCTAGACCAGAGACTTCAAGGCACATCTTTGTCGGCCCGCATCCGATCACTCATGCCACGCAAGCTGTATCCATCGGCTTCGACGCACGGTAGGACGAGGTCCTTCATGTCCCGGAACCTCAGGCGTCTGCCCAGTTGCTTCATACAGGGTAAAGGGTTTTTACTGAGAACCCCAAACAGGGAACCCCGACAATATCTAGCAGGAATTTAACAGGAATGTACCTACCAGGGTCCTTAATTTTTATCATCTTCCTACCATGTTTCTTGGGGTTTCCCATTAGAACAGGTTTATAGGGGAGCCTGGAGGATGGTAAAGTGTACCATAGCTGTACAAGGAATAGTTGAGGATTCCCATTCTAGTTGTCCAAATTTCTACCTTCGCTAGATTTGGAGGTCCCCATAGCTATGACTCTTGGGACTTGCTTTGGTTAGGGCTTAGGGTTTAGGGTTTAGGGTTTAGGGTTCAGGGTTTAGGATGATGCACGGGCCACGGTATATGAGCAACAGCCGTACTCCTTTTGTGGCCGTATACTCATTACTATAAGGAAGCCCCTGACCACGCCGAGTAGTCCCGTTGTAACAGCAACTGTCACATTACATCAACCCAGCACCCTAAACTCAGTAGCCTCTTTTTAAAATGGGCCCTAAGGGGCCTCATAAAATAGGGTAGTTTCCCAAAATAAGGGGACTCCAATATAGACCCCAAGATACTATAATCCTTCTTTTAGTACCCCTAAGTTTGGGAGCTCCCCATAGAATCCTCATAGCTACTGGTAGTTCTTGTGTCCCCAGATTGTCCGGTGAAGTCTAGGGTTTAGGGTTTAGGGTGAAGACCACAAACAATAGACACATAAACCACTCAGGTAGAACCCAAGGAACCGATCTGCGGCACCAGAGAGAGCAGAAGGTGAACTACTGATAGCTAATCTCACCAAAGCCTCATCATTTTTGAGGTCATCACTGGCATAGTCGAGGGCATGGGGCGATCGGCGGATCGCTTCCTCCCCAGAATCATAGGATGCCCTCTTTGGAAGCAGGGGGGAGTATATATCAAACATCATAGGACCCGTGGGTAAAAAAGGGTTGTTTACATCATTGTTTGAGCCCTAATTATCACCTTAGAGGTCTCGTTGCTTGAAGGCTGACGAGAATTCGGGAACTGGAGACCAAAGGAACAATTAGGCCGAAGCAAACTGAATAGGGTGGGATACTATTCCCAAAATTGTATGTGTAAGACTCAGCTAGTCCCGTCTGATTCAAATCTCAAATCTTAGACCTCATCATCCGAGAAAAGCTTAAGAAATAACGGATGCCCGATCCCAATGGCGCACGGCATGCGAGTATAGGGGTGCAGGGCCCTGGAAATCGTCAAAGAATGACTTTACTGCACCCTAAACCCTAAACCCTTAACCCTAGCCCCTAATCCCTAAACGGACTCAAGAATCAGGGCTGGTCATAAGGCTTGTTAAAAAATCGATCTTTTAGCCACTCTAACCTCAGAAGTAAGGAGGTCGTAGCTACCGTGTGACAGTCACACGGTCCGTATCTGGGATTCCGTAGCACCGTGGCCAGAGAATAATTGCCCATTTTGGCACCTTTTAGGGAATTGGGACCCCTATTTGACTTACTGTTGGAATCCAGATAGGCATAAAACACTAGGGACGATCAGGCTTTGTTGTGGTCTTTAGGAGGAGGCTCTTGTGACTGTCATGACCGAACCTCCATGAAGGACCTGTCCCCGACCAAGTGCTGCCCGATGCACCACAAGCACCTGAGGACCAAATTGAATGTTTGTGGCCAATAATACTAAAAGACTGTAGATTGCATGAACACCTCCTGTGAGAGCGTGCAATGTAGGGGGCTGAAGAATGGGTGAACATGCCACGAACTGGAAAAAGGTGAGTGTGTGTGTGTGTGTGTTTGTTCGCGTGTAGAGCACCCTCTTGTCGGTTTGCACAGGAGTCTGCGCCCATGCCAGCCTGGACAAGCTTGAAACGATTCGAAACGACTCGAACCATGAAGACGTGCCGTGCACGGCCGTTAATGCTGGCGTGGGCTGAGTGGTAGCTTCCAATTAAAGTGGGTCCATAACAGACGCCAACCTACTATGGACCCCGAGAAGGAAATCCCTAATCTTTCGATTCCTCTCATGTGAATCTCCAAGCCTGGCAACAAGGCAGAGGAGCGAATAGGAGCGAATTACTGACTACACTACACCTCCCCAAGCTAAAATATGGCCCTGAAAAATGTTTAGAGTTTGGGGTTTGGGGCATTTTATGGTACGGTTCAAGGACTTAGAGACGACGCGTGGCGTTTGTAGGGATCCATATTGCTCTAGCCCATGCTTCCCGTCAGTAAATGGGCCCCAGAAGGGCACTCTGATTATTGAGAAGCAAGCCCTCAACTTACTGGGTTCTGTGTGGTTTAGGGTTTAGGGTATAGGGTCTTTAAATTAGAGTATTTCTGGAGGTATAGGGTTTTAAGGGGTCATAAAGGAAATTACCATCACTGTTACCTGCCGCATGCTTCGATTCACAGCCCAGATGCCAGGCCATGGGAGGACAAGAGCATACGTGTAGTCATGCAACGTTCTCATAAGATAAGCTAACAGGTTAATTCACAAGAAATTCTTTTTAGATTCCTTTACCTAGACCCTCCTCCTACCCTCTATTAGGGCCTAAGTACCTACTACTAGGGACCATATATCCCCAATTCAGGGTACAAGGAAGGTCCTGGAATCTAAATTCCGTGTTGAAAGCATATTGGAAAGGAAGGCTTGGACCAACGCCAAGGAGATCTCCGCCTCTAATTGAGTAGCCCTCCTGCAGAGTCTTCCTAATTCAATATACTCCTGATGTGGACCCCCAAGAAGTCTCCCATGAAGGTCCCTAACATTGCCTATAGATTATTTCCTATAGCTTGCCCATGACCTCATCACTTCAACAATGTAATCCTGATCAGGATGCCCAATAGGACTCCAGGGTTTAGGGTTTAGGGTTTAACATTTCCTGAAAAATCTTTCCTAAACCCTAAACCCTACTGGTACTCTTGTTTCAATGTACGCGTAATGCAGATATCCAACAGAACTTCGGATGAGGATCCCAGGGAATTTGTCCTCGAATAAGTACCCTTCTCGTTCCGAGTGTGGATCCAAGTTAATTAGCAAGAACTTCAATAGAGATTCTTAACGAGACTTCCAGCTAGTGTTGCACGTTGGGGTTGCAAAAAGGACATTCATGATAAAGATTTCAAAATAAGGATGACTAAAAATGATCTTTAATATGAGCTTTAAGGCGGATGCAAGATGAAGCATGCAAGCACAACTTTCCATTAACAAATGAATTCTATTTCTTCTGATGTTCAGGCTCAGTCAAGAAACAATATAGGGGATCCTCAATCCTATTATCTTAGGTTCTTTCCTGATATACCCTAAACCCTACACCCAAGATGAATTCATGGTTAATTTCATTCCCTGGGCATCCTATCTGAACATGACTACAAGCGTGACCAGGTACATTTTTAGTAAGTTCTAATTAAAAGGTTTGGGGTTCAGAGGTTAGGGTGTAGGGTTGAGGGTTTAGAGTTTAGGGTTCTCACTATAGACGGAAGGATACTTATTGACCTTTTTTAGGCATTCTCCATGAGAGCACTATTTTGGATTAGGAGCTCTCTGTAAACTAGAATGTATACCGAAATCAAAATTCACAAGCTCAATCAAAGAAACAACATGCAACCAACAGAAATAAGTTGAGCCCATGCAATCCCCAATCGTATTCACGTAGGTTTTTCCTGATATTCGAATCCGTTCAATGTTGTATTACTCCCCCTGGGAATACTATTGGAGCCTGGTTTCAAGTTTGACGATATTTCCCTATTCAGGATTTTGAATCAGGATTCCTTCTAGGTACGGAGGGATACTCATGCACTCTCGTTACTGTTACGCATTATCCATGAGAGCACTTCTGTTGATCTGTATTAGGCGTATTTTGAACTACAGTGTCCGTGCGCACATATAGAATACAACCTCCAGGAAATCCAAGTAATTTCGGGATTTCCTTACTGTCGCTTACACCCAGTGATTTCACAGGCTTGTAAGTTCAATCGTATAACAAAAAGAGTTCAAGGCGATTGCATCATATTCTGGACTTCCTCGGTTTCAACAGAAATCATGACTTTCATGAGGTTTCTATAGTAAACTTCAACTTAAGAATAATCGAGCAAGAATTACTGAGTTGAGAGCAGTGTTGATTTTTAGGGAACCTTTCTCTTCAAACCATAACTATTTCGACAAGAATATTTGGCACTCCATGTTTCCATGTTTCTATTATTCAATATGTCCGGGATTCCTATATGGTCACGTTTCAGTATTTAAACTGTTTGACTTTAATATTTCCACATTTCCACGTTCCACATTTCCACATTCCATATTTCCCGCATTTGCAACCCCATGTCTATGGAAACGTGGAAGGATATCGGGCTGCAAATGTAGAAATGTGGAAAGTTGGGGGCTGTAAATATAGAAATGTGGAAAGTTGGGGGCTGCACATGCGGAAATGTGGAAATGTGGAAGTTGGGGCCTGCAAATGTGAAGATGCGGAAATGTGGAAAGTTGCAAATATGGGTATGTGGAAATATGAAATATGAAAAATAATAGACATGCAGCTTCGCTTTTGGTTAAGTGTTATCCACCTTTCACATTCACACCCTCTCCACATCCCACCACAACCCAACGACCCTCTTCAGCTTCTCGAAAAGAATCTGGGTAAAGCGCGTGTCTCCTGGGGGGGTACCATGTTACATAGAGACCATATAGGCATATATAGGGGTTATATTTCCTCATTCATTACTAACTCCCCAAGTTAATTGAATTTGTCTCAAGTCACCTGGCGTAGATAGTCACGCACTGGAGGATGAACTCTTTGTCTGCACGAAGCTCTTCTGTCGCAAACTCCAGGTCAGGATAGTTGTAGTTCCAGGCGACAACCGCCAGCATGCAATATCTTGGCAAGCAAACTGAACGATAGATGATGTCAGGGTTTCCCAAAATTAGGGGTACCTGTTTTGGGGTCCCCATAAAAGGCACTATAGTATTTTGGGGTCTATAATATTGGGGTCCCTCTATTTCTGGAAACTATCAAGTACTAGTCTAATCCCATAAGGGTACATGAGCCTTAAGTAACATCAGAGGCAACTGAAACAGCCAGAATGCAATAACCCTAAACCCTAAACATGAGCTTGTAGCTCAAAGCCTTTCATCTGCAAACCTCAACCCTTGATAAGTGGATTTACGGCGGGGGGGGGGGGCTAGTCGGGGTATGTTTGGATGATGGAAAATGTAAGCTACTACATTAAAATCGTGTATATGTTGGGTTTAGCAAGGAATAAAGGAATGTATATATATATATATAGATAGATCTATACAGGGAGTATATAGGGATTCTATTCCCTTGTTCGCCTATTAAGCACCATGAAGTTAAACCCTAAACCATTTGTCTCTTGATTGCTGAAGGACCTGTCACCTCGCACCTCAGCTGGAGCCTCCCTGACCAAGTCAGAGACGTCGCCATCGGCGAGCGTTTCGCTCAGCTCCTCTTACTGCTGCTAGTTTGTGAGGAATGAGGAATAGAACCCTATATATATATATACATATATATATATATACCCTGCTCTGAAGTAATAGTTTCCGATTTCTTTTCCATTTTCCCTACATAGCCCCAAAATATTCCCTTATTCCCTACTGATCCCAGTAAGTCCTCCAGAAACTTCATCTGCGCAGAGCTCCGGCTCACTGCCGTGATGTTGATGACCTCTCTACTTATAGCAGTTCTCCAGAACCGAACGGCAAGAACGAAGTGACAACGGGTTTTGTAAAGGACCCGAGATGAAAGGGTTCATAGTCTTTAGATGCATACAGCGAGTACGGAAGGACGTAATGCCACATGCCCCTGGCTGTGTCTCCAAGGGACGTCACCGTCACATGGATGATCAAGCAGGTCCGACAGCTTGTCACTGCGCCCTTCCGCCTGGAGTAGCACTTCACACAGCTCTCGCGTCCCGTCGAACAGCCGCTGCTTGTGCACCGACCAGCTGCTATTGGCTTCGACTGCGTCCTTCAACTGGTCCAGGCTCCACCCACCAAAAGCAGTCACTGTGCACAAAGGTGCTTCCATGGTGCACACTCGGACCTTTCAGCTTGAATAGAACAGAAGCACAGGACCCTGAAATGCCGCACAGACACCATATTCACCTGTTCAAGATTTCCGGTCCCTGTTTGGGATTCCTATTCTAAGGATCCTAGTTTAGGGGCATATACTAGAGTATACTTCCAGACCCTCATTCTGAGAATGCCCCAAACCTTAGACCCGAGATCATGTGTATGACAACTCTCACCTCGAAGCACGGGCCTTCATTGCCTTCATCCTTTGATGACGTGCCGTACCCATAGAACCCAACTTCGTCATCAAGTTCGTTGAGTGCTGCAAGCTCAGCGTAGAGTGCTGCGAGCTCACCCATGGTACAGAGGCTGAGATGAACGGAGGGGCTGCTTCAAAGGTAGGTGGTGCTGCTATGAGGCATGCCTGGACCGAAAAGGCTCACCGTCAGCCTGCTGAGGGACAGAAAGGAACAAACAAAGTGCACAACCTGCTTTGGGGATGAAACACCCACACACCCCAACCCCTAAACCCTAGGCGTAGATGTTCTTATCCCAAAAGGGCAGATGGGCCACATGTATGAAAATAGCAGGTACAACAGGTGTTCCGGGATCCAAACAAGGGAGTACTGGGAAGCTCGTCGGGATTTGGAATGTAGGTGGGGTACTAAGTAGTATGACTATATGGCATGTCGCTCCAACTACAGTAGCCCGTTATAACCTTAAGGGTACGTACTTACAATCTTGCTTAGATGTGCTAAGGTACCTCCAACTACTTTGAGCGCCGCAAGCTGTTGACTACTCCAATCACAGGATGGTGTGCGTCCTGAACCCTGTAGTAGAGGGACTGAACCCCCAACGCAGGGAACCCCAAGTATACAGTATATACTAGGAACCTACCAAGGTCCTTATATCCCGGTTATAACCCTACTATATTCTTGGGGTTCCCTGTTTTGGGGTTCCCAATTTACTCCCTTGATTTAGCGTGTATGCGGGCACTTCCAAAAACAAGGGTCTGAATCGTTATCATCTGAAGCCATGTTGAATAAACCAGCTCAGAAACCCTAAGGCATCTGGAAGCAGAGCATTAGCAGTGATGGTGGTGGTGGCGGTTATGGTAATGTTTGGTCCCGATTCGTGTGGGGGTTCTCAATTGTGCGAAGTTTCGCCAAAATTATTCAGCACCCCCCCCCAGTTCGTTTGGGGGTCCTTAATTGTGCGAAGTTGCGCGGCCAAAAACCAAAATCTGAGAATAAGTCAATAGAAACCCTTTTAAATGCTTTCTAAAACCCTTCTGATCCATTACGGAGCAGATCCTGATCACTCCTATTGAATCTTAATTACAACCTAGGATCCAGATTCGCTTGGGGCCCCCCCCCCTTTACTCTAAACAGTGGGGGGGGGTTCCCCCTACACTAATCAGGACCCAACATTACCAATCGTAAGCCAAAAACTCCAAACCCTAAGCCGCGTAGTCGCCGTAGGAGGCTTTTGGCTTGGGCTTGGTTTCTACTTAGAACTGACTGGATTTGTTGCAGCGAATGTCAGGCAACAAGGCCGCCGGCAGGTCCTCTGGCGACAGGAAGAGCGCCTGCTGCATCATGTAGAAATTGCACTCACTCTCACGGCCATGGACACTTGCGAAAAGCATCAGACTTACTCTCACTCTCTCCCACTCTCTCTTTCTCTCTCTCACTTACTCTCACTCGCTCTCACTCTCACTATGGATACTTTTGAGCTCCCCGAAGACTCAAGTGCTTCGCGTCTAGAGGGTGACAAAACGACTCTGGGATCCAGAGTCTCCGGCTAGATCTTGCAATATGGTCGTGATTCCCTACCTAAGCTTAGGGCCTCGAGGTCTGGTCAACTCGCGATTTTTGTTGCTTACAAACAGGCAGCTACAGCGACGATTGCCGAGCTTCTGGTGTGGAGGTTTAGGGTTGGGGTTTAGGGCAAAGTTTAGGGTGGTGCGCAATTGATTTGACAGGGGTGTGGGAGGATGCAGTTCCTTGTGCAGGACAAGAAGCGGAGAAAGTGCAGTAGCTCCGGTCCAATGAACTTGTCTTTATTCATCAGGCTTGGAAGGCTCTACACGCAATTTCATATGTCCCAGACAACATGGTCCCCACAATGGATCTCCAACATGTGGCCCTTGTACAGGTCCCCATGGAACCCCTCTGCCCAAACTCCAAGTCCAACCCTCAACGCTTCACACTACATCCGGCATGCCCAGACCGCGCGTGAACACATCTTAACCCTCAACCTCCGACCCGCTTATCTCCCAACAGCCCAAAACCTTGCTCCGTAAGACCGAACGCTCCCATATCACAGAAAGCAGCTAAGTTAGCTAAGTATGATGATCGGAAAAACTCATGTCCAGACACTTCCGAAAACGGGGGCCCAACAAGGAATCCTGAAAGCACAAAGTGCGCCCCCTGCAAAACTGACATGAGCTGTAGCCTAAACTCCTAGTATCCCCCTTAATGACCCCCTAGAATGCTCCCGCATATAATCCCCCATATAAGCCCCCCTGAAGGAGTTTAGACCCTAAGCCCTAAACCCTAAATCCTAAACTACCTGCGCTAGAACCTCAGAAGATCCAAAATTCGAATCCTTAGACCTCGCCTGAACAGCCACCGTTAAGGGTTTAGGTTTAGGATTTAGGGTTGAGGGTCGAGAGTATCCTTGCACAACCTGATTGCAAACTCCAAGTACTGCGCCCCAACCATCAACGCCTCCACCCCAAATCCTGCCACAGAAGCTTAAGCGACTGAAATACTCGCACCATACAAGCATCATCCTGGGATCCAATCAGCCCTAAACCCTAAACCTAATATCCTAACCCTAAATCCTAAACCCTAAATCCCAAACCCTAAATCCCAAACCCTAAATCCTAAACCCTAAATCCCAAATTCCCACCCGGCCTGCTTGGGCCGTTCCCATCCATTACTAGGGTGGTCAGACACTGAAGAAACACGTCAGCCTATACACTTGTATGGGTAAGACAATGGGAGGAGCCTACGTATCCGGGCTCCTCCCGTACATCGGGAGCACTGATTTCCCCGTGATGGGAACACAGAAAACCCAACGTCCCAAGGCCTGAAAAGACGCCCCCACATCGAGGGCGTAGCCCTAAACCCTAACAGGAAGTAATTTGGGTGGTAGCCTGTGATGTCTCACAGCGGGTGAGGTTTTGAAGAAAACCCAGCTTCGATGGCTTCTTGAGCAATATCCACGAGGTTCGCTGGGCGCAGGATGTGCCGCCACCCACAGATCCCTGGAAGTGGGGTGGCGCCATCAGTGCATGGATGCTCAGCCCTGCGCAGGTAGACGCCCTAAACCCTAAATCCTAAACCCTATACCCTACATCCTAAACCCTAAGCCCGAAATCCTAAACCCCATATCCTTCATCTTAACATCCTAAACCATAAACCCTAAATCCTAAACC